CGTTTTGTAAGTTTTTATCATCTACACAAACATGTCAGATGTTTTATTTAAAACCATATTAAAAGAAATATTACAAATAATTGATCAGAAGAACCAGATTTTGTTCTTAGCAGGTAATTAGCTCAAATTTAAACAGTCAATTACGAAAACAGGTTAACAGACTTATTTCTAATCAAATCAGATAAACCAGCTTTAGATCACTTTAAAAGTTAATTGGAATTGATCTTGGAGAATCTGATAGCTCAGCTCGGCGGGATTGTCCACACTATTTGTCTGATTGGACCCGCCACATTGGATGTTCCAGCGGACATTAAGGCAGATGGAAAATTATTGTCTGCCTGACCGAAAACATTTTCTTCTGTTCCCAAACAACTGAATACAGATTGCACCCCCCCCCCCCACCCAACTTGGCCTTGAAGAGCTGTGGATCTAATTTCTCCTGGTGTTTACGTCAACTTGTGGCTTGGCCCCCACCTTCCCCCTCTCACTCCCACCTGTAATCTGGTCTCTGAAGGACAATCTGAAGTTGCACAGAATGAACAATCAACATAATTATTCTGAACTATGGGGATTTATCTTTTTGGGGACTCGATTCTTCAGACTCATTCTTCAGATATTCACACAAGTGCATACAACATTCATGCTTCAGATATACAGCCTCTAAACTCACTAATTATCTGGCTAATTACATGTGCTCTTGCTTGTAGAGGTTTTTGTTCTATAAACACCATAGTGTGTCATATTTCATTGATATAAGATAATGTTTTGTTTTGTTTATTCCCTGATCTAGCCTGGTAAAAATCAGACCCTTGTCCTTCACTTTGCTTTATACGAGGGTCTAGACTGTCCGCTATAGAGAAGCGATTCTTGTTGGAGGCGTGGCCTCTGCTGAAGTTTAAAATGATTGGATCAGCTGGCTGTGACATATGTCACTGTGAAGGAGGCTAAGCTAAGAAGCTAACCGGAAATCGTGTTCTGTAAACAACCCTACTGAGAGGAGAGAAGTACCGAGCTGAACGAGACGACTGTAAATGAGAGCTGCTGCTTTGTCAGACACATTTAATTTAATTTGAAGCCTTATCAACACAGACTGGCTTCATTCACTTCCTCCACTGCTGTATGCTAAAATAACTAGCAGACACTGCGCAGAAAATCAACGTTCTGTTCTCTGATTTTCCCAGATGAAAATTCTCTCGAAGAAATCCTTGTCTTGGGGAGAAATCCCAGACGGAGCAGTGAAGGAAACTAGAATTGAGCGGAACTGTGTAGGAAGGTAAGGACCAGGCTATCTCTCATCTAACCTTCTGTGTTTTTAGTTTTTCTTTTTTCTGCTGGTTGCCACATGACCTGATCAACTGTTCCCCCATGTTTTTGTCATGTGTGTCTCTTGAATGGGTGTTCTTAAATGTAATTTCATTGTGCTCTGTACAAAGACAATAAAGGAATCATCATCATCATCAAACGTGAACCCAAAAAAGTGTTGTGTCTGTGTGTTTGTGATTTATTTATGTGTGTTTGCACTATGTGTGAGGTTTAACAATGTGTGTATGATTGTGTGAATACTTAGTTTTATGTCTATGAGTGATGAAGAGAGATCAAGAAATAAGTTTTAAAAGGGAGAGAAAGGAAAGAAGAAGATATACTGTATAAGAGAAGAAGAAGGGAGAGCAGTTTTTATCAGAGTTACTCTAACTTCTGGTCTTAATTCAGTAAGTGGCTTTTTGTGATGAGGCTGCTAACACATTCTCACTCCCGACTCATCAACATATTGACGCTTTTCCAAAGTTCCCTCTGCGTCTCACTTTGACGCATCGGGTGACCCCCTTGCGTCAGTCTTGCCGTCCGCAGCTTTTCCGGGTTGCGCCACCAGGGGGTCTTTGGGTCGGGGGTCTGAGGTTAACATGAGGGATCAGGATAACTGGTTAAGTTTAGGTACTGGGGTCAGGGATAGGATGTCTACAGCGAATATTAGGTAAGTTTAGGCTTTGGAACATGTAGTTGATATGCATTACCTACGTTTTCTAAAAATGGTTAATTTTAGGTACGAGGGTCAGGGACAGGATGACTAAAGTGAATAAAGGTAATTTTAGGCTTTGGGACGGTAGTCTAGTCAGATGAGACCAACATAGAACTGTTTGGATGCCAGAATACACATCATGTTTGGAGGTCAAATGGCACTGCACATCAGCCCAAAAACACCATACCAACAGTGAAG